GTCCCCAAGCTTTTTTGCTCAAGGCTAGTGCTCTACCACTTGAGCTACAGCACCACTTCTGGCCTTTTCTGAGTAGTTTATTGGCTCACTGACTTTCCTACTCCAGGCTAGCTTTGAACTGGGATCCTCAGACTCCAGCCTCCTTAGTAGCTAGGATTACAGGTGTGAGCCACCAGTGTCCAGCCATTTTTACCTTTTTTTAAAGGACAGTGAATAAATTTCACAGCCAAATAGTTGTTGTGCCCTCTAACAGCTTTCCTTCCTTTTCTCTGGTCACCAGCCACTTTAGTCAGTGCTGGAGGTGTTCCATCTTTAAGCTGGGCACCAGTGGCTCACACCTGTGATTCTAGCTACTCAGGAGGCTGAGAGCTAAGGTTTGTGGTTCAAAGCCAACCCAGGCAGGAAAGTCTGTGAGACTCTTATTTTTAATTAACCACAAAAAAAAAGAAAAAAAAAATAAGGAAGTGGAACTGTAGATGAAGCACCACTTTTGCATGAAAATGCTAAGAGACAGCAACCTAGGTCCTGAGTTCAGGCATGAGTAGAGGCACAAAAAAAGAAAAAAAAAAGTCATCTCTAGGGCTGGGAATGTGGCTTAGTGGTAGAGTGCTTGCCTAGCATGCATGAAGCCCTGGGTTCAATTCCTCAGTACCACATACGCAAAAAAAGCTGGAAGTGGCACTGTGGTTCAAGTGGTAAAGTGCTAGCCTTGAGCAAAAGAAGCTCAGGGACAGTACACAGGCCCTGAGTTCAAGCTTTAGGACTAGCAAAAAAAAAAAAGAAAAAGAGACAAGTGGGCGGGGAAGGAAGAAGGAAGGAAGGAAGAAAGAAAGGAAGGAAAGAAGGAAGGAAGGAAAAGGGAGAGGGGCTTGGAATGTGGTTCAATTATAGAGTGCTTGCTTTGCATGCATGAGGCCCCAGGTTTGATTCCTTAGCACTATATAAGCAGAAAAAGCCGAAGTGGCGCTGTGGCTCAAGTGGTAGAGCACTAGCCTTGAGCTGAAGAGCTGAGGGACAGCACTCAGGCCCAGAGTTCAGGCCCCACAACTGACAGAAAAAAAGGAAAGAAAGAAAGACAGATCTCATTTATTTAAAAAAACAAAAAACTTCGTCTCTAGTTTCTATTGACGTGACTGAATCCACGAGTTGCATCCAGGATGTCTTTATCAAATGGTCTTCCAGCCATCGCCTTGCTGTTCTCTCCAGAACACATTTTCCATCTTTTTCTAAATTGTTTTTGTTTTCAATTTAGATACACTAAGAGTATACCAAATCTGGCAGGGCATTGGTGGCTCACACCTCTAATTCTAGCTACACAGGCGGCTGAGATCTAAGGATCACAGTTCAAAGACAGCCTAGGCAGGAAAGTCCATAAGACACTTTTTTTTTTTTTTTGGGTCTGGTCGTGGGGCCTGAACTTTGGGCCTGGGCATTGTCCCTCAGCTCTTCAGCTCAAGGCTAGTGTTCTGCCACTTGAGCCACAGTACCACTTCTGGTTTTCTGGTGGTCATTTGGAGATAAGAATCTCATGGACTTTCCTGCCCGGGCTGGCTTTGAACCTTGATCCTCAGATCTCAGCCTCCTGAGTAACTGGGATTACAGGCATGAGCCAGTGGCACCTGCTTGGAAACGATCTGTGTTTCAATCTCTCTGAGCCATTTTTTTATTCCAGTCAACAATGTGTAAGAGTTCTGGTTATCCCATCTACTCACCAACCTTTAATATTGTCAGTCCTTTGGGTTTTTTTTTTGGGGGGGGGGAGGGGGTCTGGTCATGGGGCCTTGAACGCTGGGCTTAGGCACTATCCCTCAGCTCTTCAGCTCAAGGCTAGAGCTCTACCACTTGAGCCACAGTGCCACTTCTGGCTTTTTTATTTTTGCTTATGTGGTGCTGGGGAATCGAACCCAGGGCCTCAGGCATGCAAGGCAAGCACTCTACCACTGAGCCACCTTCCCAGCCCAGTCCTTTGGGTTTTTTATCCTTTCTAGTGAGTGTGTGCTAGTATTCCATCATAGCTGTAGTTTGCCTTTCCAAAATGATCGATGGTGTTGAATATCTTCCTGTGTGTTCATCTGCCATTCATGTGTCTGCTTCTGTTAAGTGGCTATGCTCATATTTTTTTCCACTCACTAAGTAGTTTTCTTATGATGGACTTGTAAGAGTTCTCTGTTTATTTTAGATACCAGTCCTTTAACAATGGATACATTGTGATGGTTAATCTTGATTGTCAACTTGATTCAATTGAGAGACACCCAGGAGATTAGTAAATCACTTCTGTCTGAGAGGGCATTTCTGGAGAGGATAAGCCCTGCTCTGAATGTGGGCAGCACCCTCTCCTGGGCTGGACAAGGCTAGACAACACAGCTTCTCTGTTTCTCTGTCTTTCTCTTCTCTTCCTGTCCACCATGATGTGAGCTGCTCTGAACCTTTCTGTCTCTCTCTCTCATCTTCCTGACCACTGTGACATGAGCTATTCTCTACTGCTATGCCCTCCCCATCATGATAGAATGAAAACCATGAACCAAAATAAACCCTTCCTACTTGGAATTGTTTCAGAATTTATTTAGCTACATAAACTGAAAACCCAGTTGCAGTCGACACACATCTCACATAGTTGTTTTTTGGTGGCACTGGCATTTGTACTCTGGGCCTTGCCCCTTGCTGGGTAAGCATTCTTGCTTGAGCCATGCCTCCAGCCTTTTTTGCTTTAGGTTATGTTCCAAGTAGGATCTTTTTTTTTTTTTTTTTTGATTGTGGACCTTGATCCTCCTGCCTGTCTCTTGCATAACTGAGATTATAGGTATGAGTCACATTCCTCAGTCATTGAGTGAAATATCTTAAAATTTTCTCATTATAGCTAGGTGCCAGTAGCTCATCCCTGTCAGCCTAGCTACTCAGGAGGCTGAGATCTGAGGATCGCAGTTCAAGGCCAGCATGGGCAAGAAAGTCCGTGAGACTCTTATCGCCAATAAAAACCACCAAAAAACCAGAAGTAGTGCTGTGGCTCAAGCGGTAGAGCACTTGCCTTGAGCTGAAGAGCTGAGGGACAGCACCAAAAAAAAATTCTCATTATAATTGTGAATGTTTATTCCTGTAGTTTTTCCTATATTTACTTTAGGAAGTATGACCTGTTAAGGAAGCACATGTAAGTTAGAATTTTTCTATTCCTGTTGAATAGAACATCTTTAATATTGCTTTGGACTTTGAGGTCTATATCTTGTCTCTCGTTAATGTAACTACAGTTCCTTTGGGGGGGGGTCCGGTCGTGGGGCCTGAACTCTGGGCCTGGGCGCTGTCCCTCAGCTCTTCAGCTCAAGGCTAGCGCTCTACCACTTGAGCCCCAGCGCCACTTCCGGCTTTTTTCTTTTTGCTTATGTGGTGCTGAGGAATCGAACCCAAGGCCTCAGGCATGCCAGGCAAGAGCTCTACCACTGAGCCACCTTCCCAGCCCCTACAGTGCCTTTTTTTGTCAGTGTTTGTATACTTCTTTCTACCAAGACACAAAACAGAGGAACTGACTCTTTGCCCATATTGTCCCTTGGCCTCTTCATTTGCCCACCACTCAGCCCTTAATCCCGGAAGTATCCTTGGTTCTCGTTCACTCTGTATGTGTGTGTGTATATGTGGTGTGTGTGTGTGTGTATGTGTGTGTGTGTGTGTGTGTGTGTGTGTGTGTGTGTGTGTGTGTGTGTGTGTGTACCTTGGGGCTTGAACTCAGAACCTGGTGCTATCCTTCAGCCTTTTTACTCAAGGCTGATGCCCTACCACATGAGCCACAGCTCTACTTCTAGCTTTTTGGTTGCTACTTGGGGATAAGAGTCTCATGGACTTTGCTGCCTAAGTTGGCTTTGAACCTTGACTCTTTGATCTCAGCTGCCTGAGTAGCTAGGATTACAGGTGTAAGCCATGGCTGCCTAGCCCCACTGGGTTTTGCCTCTGTCTACCACAGCTCCCTGAGGGAGGTGTTGCAGGTGGGAGACTGAGGCTGAGGGACAGTCACTTGTCTAAAGACCAGAGCTAGGCGTGGGTAGAGCCAGGACTCCCATCATCATCATGTTGAGCTTTCCTGCACGGGGCAAGCTCCTTTCCATCACAGCCTTTTCCTCTTGCTGTTCCTCTCCCCACGCTTCCCCAGGCTCCCTCCTTCTCCTCACCGGGTCTCAGCCTCAGAACCATCTTCTTGGTCTTTTCTGAGTCACCTTTGCAAGCACCTCAAAGAGATCATTTGGGGTGATTTTTTTGGGGGGTCCAGTCATGGGGCCTGAACTCTGGGCCTGGGCGCTATCCCTCAGCTCTTCAGCTCAAGGCTAGCTCTACCATTTGAGCCACAGCGCCACTTCTGGCTTTTTTCTTTTTGCTTATGTGGTGCTGAGAGGAATCGAACCCAGGGCCTCAGGCATGCAAGGCAAGCACTCTACCACTGAGCCACCTTCCCAGCCCCTGGGGTGATATTTTACCAGCTCCTGAGTTGATCTAGTTGCTATGACTACTGCCTCTGGTCCCCTCCCATCAGGTCTAAGTTCCTGGGAGGCGGAGGTTGGGTGGGACCATAGCTGTCATGGATTGCTGATTCAAGGCTGACCAGATTTCATCAGAGATTGAAGTCATTGATCTGCATGGTCCCCTCCAGCAGCCACACAGTGCTCAGCATGGTACCTGGCATATAGTAGGGGCCTTATCGATGCCTGAATGAGTAAACATATGGAAAATACTGGAATAGTCGTGGCAGCTACCACCATAGAGGCCCCGGAGGGAGGCATTGAGCAAGTGAGGGACAGCGCTAGGACTTCCAGACACATCTGTCTAGTTGTAAAACTGAGTTCCTGGCCAGCCATATTTTGCCACAGCGGATGTCTGGACTGGGGAGTGCGGGGCAGATGGACAGATGGAGAGATGGGCAGTGGGCTGGAGGAATGAGTGACCACATGTTTGGTAAATTCCTCTTCAATCCAGAAGCTGCATTCACAGTCCCCTATTTTCCTGTCTCTCCCCCACCCCAGCCTCCTGACCCCCAAACGGTGGCGGAAAGTAGAGAGGTGCACGGGAACCAGGGCACTGCTGTGTCCCCTGATGTGCCTGAAGAGGCAGGACCTGTACAACAAGTTCAAGGGACGTGTACAGGCTGTGTCTGCCAATGCCAAGTCTCCAAAAGTCGAGTCCAAGTACCTGGACTACCTGTTCGAAGGTAGGTATCTGTGGGGAAGGGACTGACAGAGAACCGCTCCTTACCCAGCAACTCTGCAAGGTGAGGCAGGGGCCTTCAGAGGAAAGAACAACAGGATCTAAACAAGAGATCCATTCAGTTGTCTTGCGTGTCCACAGAAACTGGAAAATTCCACACTTGCTGTCTGTCCAGAGTTGGGAGCCAGGGAAACTAGTAGCTGCTCAGTCCAAGAAGCAGGAGGCCTCAGAATGAGACAGACAACAGACAGAGACAGAATCAAAGGGCGGGGGGAGGGAGGGAGGGAGGGAAGAAAGAAGGAAGGGAGACTAGAGAGGCAGGGATCTGACATTAAAGGGTCTAAAAGTTTTCCGGAAAACCACAGTACAAGTTCAAGTTCGGAGGCAAAGGAACCTGCAGCAAATGCACCTGCTCAGGAAAAGACCAAGAGTGGAAGAGCAAGTTTCCCTTTCTGCTTTCTCATCCATCTGGTCTCCGTCGCATGCTAGGGGTTCTCCACACACCGGTCCCCAGAGACAGGCTCACAGACTCGCTGTCCATGTCCCACTTCCCCAAAGCGGAGAGCACCTGTCCAGTGCAGCCCGGGCTCCCACCAGCCTCGGTGAGAAGGAACCAGGGACCAGCCACAGCCTGGAGCCAGATCTGCACAGCCCCTGACTTCACTCAGGGAGGCTGAGGACTTCTAGTTCATGGATGAAATGCAACAGAACCTCCTCCTGATAACAATTACCGTGTTCTGCTGAGCCCTGGCCATGACCCAGTGCTGTCCCAGTACCTCTTTTTTTGTTAGTATTATTTTGTGCCAGTATTTGGGCTTGAACCCAGGGCCTCACATTCTTGTTTAGCTTTTTTGTTTGAGGCTAACACTCTACCTCTTGAGCCATGCCTCCACTTCTGGCTTTTTGGCAGTTAATTGGAGATAAGTGTTTCTTGGACTTTCCTGCCTGGGCTGGCTTTTTGAACCTTTATCTTCAATTCTCAGTCTTCTGAGTAGCTAGGATTACAACCATGAATCACTGGTGCCCAGCTCTCACATACATTTTGTTATTGTTGTTGTTATTGTTATTTATGCTGGTTCTGAGGCTTAAACTTCGGGCCTGGGCACTGTCTCTGAGCTTTTGTGCTCAAGGCTAACTCTACCACTTGGAGCTTTAGAGCCATTTCTGGCTTTCTGGTAGGTAGTTGGACATAAGAGCTTCATGGACTTTCCTGCCCGGGTTGGCTTTGAACTATTATCATCAGATCTCAGCCTCCTGAATAGCTAGGACTACAGGTGTGAGCCACTGCTGGCTACATACATATTCCTATATTTGTTAGAAATATTTTTCAAATTTAATTGGAAAAGTGTTTTCTATACACTGTAGAAATTTGGGGAATAGGAGAAGATAAAATTAAAGAGGGAAGAATATTGCCCATGCCTACCTAGAAATAACATGTATAACCACTGGGTGGGGATGGAGGTGTTTTATTTCTTAGCCTCACAGGGAATTTCTGAAGTTCATTTTGATCAACTCACTTGAAAAAACTAAAAAAATAAAACAAGTCGGGCACCGGTGCTCACACCTATAATCATAGCTACTCAGAAGGCTGAAATCTAAGGATTGCAGTTCAAAGCTAGCCCAGGCAGAAAAAGTCCCATGAGACTCTTATCTCCAATTAACCACCAGAAAACCAGAAGTGGCCCAAGAGAGTGCTAGCCTTGAACACAGAGTGGCTCAGGGACAGCACCCAGGCCCTGAGTTCTAGCACCACAACTGACCCCAAAATAAAAAGCAAAACTCACAGAAGCTTAGTAATGTGCCAGGATATACCATTAGTAAGTAATTGATGGGGATAGTGTGTGAATCTGGGTCCTTCTGCGCTTAGGCTAGGCCGAGCAAGGAAAGGGTGGTCTCTAGGGGAGATTGAATACTCAGTTGCCTTCATAAAGGTTTAGCTCTATTACTGTCTGTCCAGGATTCTCTAAAATACTTAAGGGTTTTTCCCTTTTCTTTTTTTTTTTTTTTTGGTCGGTCATGGGGCCTAAACTCTGGGCCTGGGAGCTGTCCCTCAGCTCTTCAGCTCAAGGCTAGCGCTCTACCACTTGAGTGTCAGCCCCACTTCCGGCTTTTTCTGCTTATGTGGTGTTGAGGAATTGAACCCGGGGCCTCATGCAAGCAAGTCAAGCACTCTACCACTGAGCCACCTTCCCAGCCCCGGGTTTTTCCATTTCCAAAGTGGGAATTGTGTGAGACTTAAAGAAAATAGGTCCTTGGTTGCTCAGTAGGTTTTGACAAATGCCAGCAATGCCTTCTCCCTTTTGAGAAAGCTGAGCAGAGGCAGGCAATGTGAGACAGAGAGCTGACAGGTCCTGGTTCTGTTTCTATCAGTGGAGCTGGCTCCACCCACCCTTGTGTTCACTCGGATTGAGAAGATCCTGTTTGTCAATGCCACCTACCAGCTGCCCCCCTGCATGCCCCCCGTTGACCTGAAGTATGAGGTGGAATTCTGGGCAGAGGGCACCATAAACAAGGTAAAAAGCCCCTTTCCTGACCCCAGGCTCCTCCCCTTCTCCCCACCACTCTACCAAACCCCAGCACTCCTCACCTTCCCATGCATCCTACGTCCCATCTCCTGGCAGTCAGCCCCTGATTATGCTCAATGAGACTGGCCTGTGAATCCCCCTGCCCCCGCATTCAACCAGAGACCAAGCTCTGGACAGGTGGAAGCCATCCCACTTCATTTAAATATTATTGTTGGCCTCTTCTCATCCACTCAAATTTGTCTGAAATAATGTATGATAAGGCGCAAGAGACTGAGTTACCAGGTCACCAGATTCATTACAGGAACCCCCAAAATACATACAAAGGCTTAGCAGCAAACCAAAAGAACCAAGAGATAAACAAATAACTTTCCATCCAGTTTCAGACCTGTTTCCAGTGCCACCTGTGTATGTGCCCAGATCTGTTGAAGGCAAAGGTTAGCTTACTCTTTCTCTGCAATACTGGACAGCAGATGTACCAGACTTTTGACTCTGCTGTTGCATCACAAAGTGAGCCACAGAAGCCAGGCACCAGTGGCTCATTCCTATAATTCTAGCTACTCAGAGTCTGAGATCTGAGGGTCCCAGTTCATAGCCAGCCCAGGCAGAAAAGTTCATGAGACTCCTATCTCCAGTAAACTACCAAAAAATCTGGACTCTGGCTTAAGAGGTTGAGAGCTAACCTTGAACAAAAGAAACTCAGGGACAGCACCCAGGTCCTGAGTTCAAACCCCAGGACCAACACACACACACACACACACACACACACACACACTCGCCCGCGCGCACACACGCATGCACACATGCACACACGCACGCACGCGTGCGCGCCCCACAGAAAATGTAGAAACCCACGGGCATCCCCAGATTGTTGCACAAAGTCAAGAGACAGGCCAGGTTCCATTCAGGGCTGTTGTTTACTAACCTCTACTACTGTTCTCATTCCTCCTTGAGCCCAACTTCCATACCCTGTGTTCCAGTATGGCTCCTGCTTTCCAGAACCTCCCACATACACGGAAACATCTTATGAAGCTTTATAACTATAAACCATTTTACAAATCAGTTAAAAAGCAATTCTTAAAAAAGTACTTCACAAACACTTTAGACTATCACTGGCCAATATAAATAACCGATGAGCCCCCTATGTCATTTTAAATGCCTAAGTTTAACTGCTTAAAAGAGAACAGGTCAGCCGGGCGCTGGTGTCTCACGCCTGTAATCCTAGCTACTCAGGAGGCTGCGATCTGAGGATCGAGGTTCAAAGCCAGCCCGGGCAGGAGAGACCATGAGACTCTTATCTCCAATAAACCACCAGAAAACCGGAAGTGGCGCTGTAGCTCAAGTGGTAGAGTGTTCGCCTTGAGCTGAAGAGCTGAGGGACAGTGCCCAGGCCCAGAGTTCAAGCCCCACGACCAAAAAAAAAAAAAAAAGAGAACAGGTCAGCTGGATGCCATCTAAGGATCATAGTTCAAGGCCAACCTGAGCAGGAAAGTCCATGAGACTCTTACCTCCAACTAACCAGCAGAAAAGTTGGAAATGGAGCTGTGGCTCAAGTGGTAGAGCACCAGGCTTGGGCAGAAAAGGTTAAGGGACAGTACCTAGGCTCTGAGAGCCAGTGTTCTTCCGTCAAACAGAGCCCGTTTCTTTCTCCAGACCCTGTTCCCTGCCACCCTCTATGGCCAGCCAGTCCATATCCCTCTGAAGCCTACCTCTGGCAGACGCCACTGCCTCAGGGCCAGAACCATCTACACCACCAGTTCCAAGTACAGCCGCTTCTCTGAGACCCGCTGCCTCCTCCCGGAAGCCGCCGGTAGGTGCAGAGCGGAAGTGCTGCAGGCACTTCCCACAGACCACACAAGTCTTGTGAGGCAAAGGTTATAAGCAAGGTCACTGGTGGCCATGGCCTCTAATCCTCACTACTCAGGAGGATGAGATCTGAGGATCCCAGTTCAAAGCCAGCCTAGGTAGGAAATTCTATGAGACCTTTATGTCCGATTAACCACCAAAATGCCAGAGTAGAGCTGTGGCTCAAGTTGTAGAGTACTAGCCTTGAGGGCAAAAGCTAATGGAAAGTGCCCAGGCCCTGAATGCAAGCCCAGTATTAGGGGGAAAAAGGGGAAAAGAACTGAATGTAGAACTCTCACCTGGCTGAAAAATCCCATTTTTCCTCACTCACTGTGTGTTTTCAGAGTTTCATAACTTCTCTGAGCCTTGCTTTCCACAGTCTATAGGGTGGGCCTGTTTGTTTTGTTTTGTTTTGCTGGTCTTGGGGCTTAACTCTGGGCCCTGGTGCTGGGCCTGAGCTCTTTTGCTCAAGGCTAGCACTCTACCACTTGAGCCACAGTGTCAGTTCCAGCTTTTTCTGTGATTAATTGGCGATAAGTGCCTCATAGACTTTCCTGCCCAGGGTGGCTTTGAACCACGATCTTCAAACTCAGCCTCCTGAGTAGCTGGGATTATAGGCATGAGCCACAGGCACCTGGCTGGATGGGCTTGTGCTTAGGTGGACCAGACAGGCTGAATAGGCGGATGTCTTGGGAGCACTCAGTGCGGGATGACCGGGTACCATCACTACACCTACTGTGTCTGTCATCACTGTCCTCTTGTCTTCCCCAGGGGTCGGCTGGGCAGTCCTGGGGCTGCCCTCACTCCTGCCTCTGCTGCTGCTAGTTGCCATCGGGGGTATGATCTGGAGGAACGTCAAGGGGAACCCCTGGTTTAAGCAGGCGAGGATGCCTATGGCCCTGGTACGGCAAGTCAGAGGGGAAGGGGGGAGGGGGCAGATGGCAGGAGGTGGGACTGACTTTCAAGTAGATGACCCAGACGGGATTATCACTTATCTTTTTCTTTCTTTTTTTTTTTTTTTGTCGGTCATGGGGCCTGAACTCTGGGCCTGGGCGCTGTCCCTCAAGGCTAGCATTCTACCACTTGAGCCACAGAGCCACTTCCGGCTTTTTTCTGCTTATGTGGTGCTGAGGAATCGAACCCAGGGCCTCATGCACACAAGGCAAGCGCTCTACCACTGAGCCACCTTCCCAGCCCCCTATCACTTACCTTTGAGACAAGATTTCCACCATTAGCAAAACAAAAGAAAAAAAATGAATCTGTCCCTGACTGACAAATGCCTTTACTTTCTGGTAATGATTTGTCACTGCCCCCAAGCGCAGGCCCAGGGCTGGGGCCCCAAGAGAGATGGCCAGAGGGGTGGAGGAGTGGCCTGGAGGGATGTTACTCTTTAACCGAGGCTGAGCCTTGCCCAGGGTAGCCTCCGGACAGCATGGCTCCCATAGGATGGGGTCCAGCTGGGGGGAAGGAGTCCCAGCCACTGCGATGGGGCCCTGTCTTGGTGAGGACTTGACACTGACACCTTCCCTTTCACCCCTCAGTGATGGTCCAAGGGCTTGGGGATGGCTGGAGCCCTCCCTTCCCCCCCCAACCCCTTGCAGTGGGCCAGCTCTGAAGTGCGTGTATACAGTGGGTCCCTGGGTCCCCAGCAGGCTTAAAGTCCAGCCATGCTGACCATACACTGCTGGATGGACACACACACACACACACACACACACACACACACACACACACACACACACACACACACACACACACGCACGCACGCTGTCCTCTCTCCAGCTGTTTGTCTACTCCCTTATTTGTGCTTTGGGGTAAGGGTAGGGGGTTGGGAGACATGTCCCAAAGAAACAGCTTACGCATGAACCCTGCCTCGGGTCTGTTTCCAGGGAGCTCGACTCAAGGCATCAAGCACAGGAAGCCTGAACCCTCTCTGTTCTTCCCTTCCCTCCCCAACTCAGGACTTCTTGCGATACAGACCCCCTGTGGTAACCTATCAGCCCAGTGAAGCAGAGTCGCTGGATGACTTAATCCTCTGTCCCCCAAAGGAGCAGCTCAGGAGAGCCAAGCTGGCCCCTCCAGTCACAGCCCCCCACACCAGACAGGCAGGCTCAGGAGACAGCTCTGAGGCCGAGGACACGGACGACAGTGACAGCTTCCATGCCTACCTTTCCTCACCGCTCTTCCTGGCCCAGAAGCTCCAGCCAGCAGGACCCTCAGTGGGGACCCGGACACCCCCAGCCCCAGGATCTCCTGCCCGGGATTCCTCACACGGGAGCAGCCCCAGCACTCGGGACTCCTCGTTCTGGGAAGAGGCTGGGTCCTCCAGCTATCTGACCAAGAAGGAGTCAGGCCAGGGGCTGGGTGGGGACAGGCATCAGGACTCATCGGAGGATTCCGGCTCCCCCAAAGAACCCCAGAAGGATGGCCTCTCCTGGTGGGCCACCTGGGGTTCCCCAGCCCCACAGCAGAGTCTGGTTCCTGGGGAGCCCCCGGTTTCTCTTCAGACATTCACCTTCTGCTGGGACAGTGGCTCCGAGATGGAAGAAGAGTGGGAAGAGGAGGAGGAAGAGGAGAGTGAGAGGGGATCAGAACCTGAAGACGGCAGCATGGAGGCCGAGCGCCTGCAGAGAGCCCAGCTCAAGAGAGGGGTGCCGGGGCATTACCTGGCCAGGTGAGCTAGCCATGGCCTCCCACCTGATCTGGTGCTGCTGCCACACACACAGCCATACCCTCCACCGAGGCCTCAGAGGGTTTGTACAGCTCCCTGGCATTCTGCCTGGAGGCTGCAGAGCAGGAAGATGCCACTGGTTCCTGGGCTGAGCAGGAAGATGCCACTGGTTCCTGTGGCCAGTCCATCCCCTTAGAAGCTGCAAGAAAGCTGTAGGTACGGATGGGCCCAAGTCAGCCCAGTGTCCCCATGGTGACAGGTGAGGTCGGGCTCCTGGGAGGAGCTCCCACAGGGGGCATATCTGGGGCGGCAGGGCCTCATCTTCCTACTGAGCTCTCCGCCTCCCGGCTGAGTGATTACAGACAGGCCCCCAGAGTTGGAAGACAGGATAGAAAGCACTGTTTTTAATACCAGACAAACCTAGGTTCAGACCCCAGCTCGGCTATTTCCCCTTCCTCGTTCTGTCGCTGTTTTGGTGCCTGCAGCTGCTGTGAGCGTCTTGGGTGTGAGCAGCACAGGCCTGCTGTGTCAGTGGGGCTGTCTGTGCGGTGGCTGGCAAGATCCCCCATCCATCCATACCCCACCTGCGACCCCTAAACCCGGAGTGGCTGAAAGCCCCCCCCCCCACTTTGCTTCCGCCCACCCACAGTGGGCTGAGCTGGGAAGCCAGAGTCCCAACAAGGACAGCTTGGCCCCTCTCCTCCCACCCCCATGGGGCCCACCCCTCAAGGGGCTCACTTACTGATCCCCACAGGATCAGACTGCCGGGTCTGGGCTCCCTTTTGCATGGCACCTGGGGGTGCTTTGTTGATGGTTGAGCAGTCTTTGGGGAGAGGTGACTGCTTTGCTCAGAGCGCAGTGACTCACTCTCGGCCTCTACTGGCTTGCTTGGCTGCACAGTAGCAGAGCTGAGCTGTCACCCTCAGGCCTGAGGATTTTGTCCTGAACAGTTGTAGCTCTGGGGCCTGGGCCCTACCCTTTACCCTGCCAGGACTTTGCTCTGCTATGCAGAAAATAAAAAAGGATCTTTACAGCCATTTCCCTCTAATAGTGTAGTTTTGAGGCTGAGCAGACAGCAAGACCCAATGCCTGTGGAGAAGTTTCTTAAGGATATTTGGTCCAAAAGTCCTCCAATCTGTTCCCAAAGGCCTCCCGTTTTGGTTGTGGGGTTGGGGCAAGGGGCATAGAGCCCTACCCCCCTCAGTCAGAGCCGCCTCACCCCAGCCTGCTCCATGCTCAGGGCCTTGCAGGTAAGATGCATTCCACTGCTAAAGAAGAAGCTAGCAGACTGCTTTAGTACTTGAATACCTGGCTCTTTTGTTTCAAGCAAAGAGGTTGAGGTCCAGAGTGACAAAGCCCTTCTCAAGTCCACCCAGCAACACTGCCTTACTATGTGTCCCCAAGGGTGCAGTTTGACCTCTGCTCAGCCAGGCCAACTCCTCCTGACCCTCTGGCCTCATCAACAAAGTCTGTAGGTGTCACCCAGGATTTCCAAGGGTCACTAAACTGGCATGTGGTCTTAACCACTACATCTGGAGTGCATGCTCACACATGTACAGGTATACACACTTCATGCACACAGGCATGCGCAATATAATAATGTATGCCCTGACTGCTGAGCCCAGAGGAAGAAGAGCAAAGGGGGAAAATGTGGCTGAGGAAGAAGAGGGCTGTGGCTCAGGGGTAGCTCTGGAAAATGTCCCCAAGCCCATTGTCCTTTCTAAGACCCAACCAAGCTGCTTGGGAAGGTGCTTTCTAAATGAAAAGTCACGGCTCTTGATTGCCACCCTGTTGTCTCGGGACTGAATACTCACTTCCTTTCTAGTCTCTGCCTTATTATTTTAAAAGTATTTTTTTGTACAAACTTTTTCTACTCTGAGCTTTTTAGCAATTTTTAGTAATTCTATTTTTTTAAAGTGTGAAGTATGAGGGAAAAGGCCTGAAAATCAATCCAGTCTTTGCTCTTGTTATACCAGTGTTTACAAAGCCTTCTCCATCTGCAGTGACTGGAACTGGATGGGGGAGTGGGGGGGGGAGAGGGAGGGGGGAGGGGGTACAAATGGAAGAACAGAGGATGAAAGTGATGGTGTAGGTGGCATGTGTCCTCTAGAGTGCTGAGATTATACATTGTTCTTATATGCCTATATTTATGTCTGATCCTGCCATGTCATTTATCATAAATATCATATTTATCAGTACCCTAACACCTGTCTGTATGTTGGCCCAAAGTTGAAATAAAGAGCTCTATTTTTGTATTAAAAAAGGAAAACTAATGGAGACATGTATGTATGCATTTGTCTTTTTAAAATCTCATCACCACACAGTTTAAGGCTGTCATAGTTTCAGGTGTCGGGAAAACAATGGAAGATGACACTGATCCAGATGCATTGTACACATTGTCATAAATACGTTCTCCAGGAACCACTTGTTTCAGCAAGGCAAAGTTTACTTTTGTGCGGAAGGGCACACCATCCGCCACAATCCAGCAAGCAAGCACACAGAGCAGGGGGGCTGCTCCCTTATTTATCCCTAATACAGTGGGTCCCACTCCTCTGCTCAGATTGGTTGAGCTCAGGTCCATAGCCTGCTCATGATTGGCTAGTTTGAATAGGGTAAAATGTAACGTGATTTTGAAATAAGATTAACAGTTCACAGGTAATCTCAAAATATACCCACACCCTCCACTCTTTTTTGAACAGTCTGGGGTGTGTGGTAACTCCATCTTTAAAAGAAATCAGTCTGAGACAAAACCTTACATTTCAAGAATCCTTTCTTATCCCAAAGCAGTAATAAGAGCCATGCCACTGGGCCAAAACAGGAACTTTTTTTAAATTTTTAATATATTTTTATTGTGAAAATACTGTACAGAGGGGTTACAATTACGTGGGTAGGATAATGAGCACATTTCTTATCAAGCATTGTAGCCTCCTCCTTTGTTTCCCCTTCCGGTCCCTTCGCATCCTCCCTCCCCCATCCTCTCCCACCAAAGTTGGTTTTTCGACATAACGACTTGTACATCTCATTGTTGCAATGGGTCCTCCTGTATCCCTGTTTACAATTTGTTTTTTTTTAATTGTTTTTTCCCTTCCCCTCCACATATACCAACATCATATATAGTGAAAGCAGAGGTTGTACCATGGGGGAGGGACATACAAGGCAACAAAGAAAGACATAATCTTATAAATATGTTAGAAATAATCGCATGAAAGATCTCTCTTTTTTTTCTTTTGGTCAGTCGTGGGGCTTGAGCTCTAGGCCTGGGAGCTATCCCTGAGTAATTCAGCTCAAGGCTCATGCTCTACCACTTGAGCCATCGCGTCACTTCTAGTTTTCTGGTGCCTTTTTTTTTTTTTTTTTCAAAACAGGAACTTTTAAGCAATACACTTTGGTAGAAAAGACAGTTTTTCTCACAACATAAAAGCAGGTTAAACTGAAACCTCTTTGTACAACTATTTAAAGATTTAAAGAAATAGCCAGGCACTGATGGCTCATGTCTGAAATCCTAGCTATTCAGGAGGCTGAGATCTGAGCCAGTCCAGGTAGCAAAGTCTATGACACTCTTATCTCCAATTGACTTTTTGGTTAAAAAAAAAAAAAAAAGCCAGAAGTAGAGCTGTGGCTCAAATGGGAGAGCACTATCTTTGAGCAAAAAAGCAAAAGAAGCTTAGGGACAGTGCACAGGGCCTGAGTTCAAGTCCCAGGACCTATACAATTTTAAATTTTTTAATGTTATTATAACAGTGATGTACAGAGGGGTTACTATTTCATAAGTCAGACCATGTGCGCATTTCTCTTTGGACAATGTCATGCCTTTTTCATTCTCTTCCAGTTTTTATCTTCCACCCCCCCACCCCCGCCCATAAGTTAATAGGTACAACTGCTGCATTTTTCACCTTTACCCCTCCCCCAAGACAGAAAAACAAGACAAAAAGAAAAAAAACAGCAACAAAGAAAAAGTCTTCTTTTTTAGACTTTTTTTTCCATTTCCTGGAATTCATATCGATAAACATTATTTTATATGCTCAGAAGCACAGAAGCATTCCACCTTTGTGTTCCTCCCCTAAGACTATTCACCTTTGGTCTCGCTGGGTATGAATGCCTAGAGTCCTGTATAATTTATCATGTCCTGGTGTATTTAAATCTACCTTCTGAATGTGAGAGAAAGCATGTGCCATTGGTCTCTCTGAGCTTGACTTACTTAACATTTGTCCTAGGTCCATTCAAAAAAAATTTGTTTTGAACATGCAGTAAATCCATGAATAAGGTGAGCTTACTGTACCTGCAGCTGAACTCAATCAAGCTGAACACACAAGAAAGGTGAGTGCCGTGGGACCAGGCCTCCAGCATTATGCGGAAGGGAGACCAGCCCTGGCAATTCACTCAGTGGTAGTTATGGTCCACCGAAGGATACAGACCAGCCCCTGAGTGGCTGGTCTTGTGACCCAGTCCTGTTCTACCAGCTCCCTCCTGGCGAGTGACTTCCGGGCTCCAGCAGCATGTCCAGGAATACATGGTGACTGTCCAGGGCCTGCAATGGTCACCATTTGCAAATCCCTTTCCTTCCCTTCAGAAGTCTTCCCTTCTGGCTGAGTCTGGAACCAAGGCCTTTCCACCTGGGATAGCATGTGGGTTATTTCCCAGCCTGGGGAGCAGGATGGCCCAGTCTGCAGATGAGACAGGAACAGAGCCACTGGATGATGGGAAAAAGTAAGCCAGAAGCATCTCTCACTTTGGTTTCTCTGCATGCTAGGTTTAAACCAGTGCTTTCGATTACTCAGAACCACTTCATAACCTCCAGTTCACAAGACAAAGAGAGCAAATGTTGCTGTTTGTGGCCAGGTTCAAGCATCTGCCACCTTGACCCAATATGCATGCAGTAGGGCCTTTCCAGAAACCAGCAGAACTTACTCTCCTGGTGACCACCCCCTCCCACCTCCTTTCATGCAGCCCAGCCTGTGCTCTGCCACCTGCTGGACAGAGGTGAAATGGCAGCACTGCTCTGTCAGCAGCCGTGCTGAGGGACTGGAGGGGAGCCTAGGTTAAGTTCCAAAAGAGAACACCTCGTTTTTCCAGCTGGCTCCAGTACCTGGGCACAGGGAGGAAGTTTGGTATTGAACAAATGAACGAAGGAATGAGTGAATTGCATGAGCCAGTGGGCAGCTAGCTGTGGCTGACTTACACGCTGCATGATTGGAAACCCCAAATTCCTGTCTGACAGGGGTCACTTTCCTATACCCCAGCATCTGCTCTGAGGGCAAATCCATGCTGCTCCATGGGCAAAACAGCAGGGCAGGAAGAGGGAGACAACGCAGAACTTTCATCCTGCCTTGTGATTGGATGTCCTGTGGTTTATCATTGCTGACATGATCCAGGACTGGCTTGGCCCATGGCTGCTGTCTGGATCTTCCTTGAGCCCAGTCCTTATGTGTACAAAGTGGAGATACTGTGATGAGGGTCAGGGTGCTTGTTTTGTTTGTTTTAGAAAAGCAGACAATAGCTAGGCACCCGGTGGCTCATGACTGTAATCCTAGCTACTCAGGAGGCTGAGATCTGAAGATTGCAGTTCAAAGCCAGCCTGGACACAAACAGGAAGTGATGCTGTAACTCAAGGTAGTAGAGCACTAGCTTTGAGTGAAAGAGCTCAGGGACAGCACCCAGGCCTTGAGTTCAAGCCTCACAACCGACACAAAGAAAAAAAGAAAAGCAGACAAGAAGCTCTGTGTATATCTAAACGAATGACTTAGTTCCATGAGTCAGTTACATAAAGATGCTATGGCTGAGGACGCTTCACCACTTGGCGTGGGGTAAGAGCTTCACATAAATTGTTAAGAGTCAGCCTTGGGTTGTTTGGTGCTTTTTCTTTTTTCAATTTTTTTCTTACTGCTTCTTTAAATGGGTTAGGAGGAAAAGAGGTAGAATCACCAGGTTGGAACTCTTTTTTTCATGCCAGTTTGAACTCAAGGCCTAAAAATTATCCCTGGGATTATTTGCTTAAGACTAACACTCTACCACTTGAGCCACGGTGCCACTTCCACCTTTTTTGGTAACTAATTGGAGATAACTAATTAGTGAGAGTGCTTGCTTAGCATGCTTGAAGCCCTGGGTTCGATTCCTCAGTACAACATACACAGAAAAACCAGAAGTGTTGCTGTGGCTCAAATGGTAGAGAACTAGCCTTGAGCAAAAGAAGCTTGGGGACAGTGCCCAGGCCCTGAGTTCAAGTCTCCGGACTAGCAAAAAAAAAAAATCTCATGGAATTTCCTACCCAGGACGGCTTCAACCCACAATCCTCAGATCTCAGCCTCCTGAGTAACTAGGATTACAGGCATGAGCCACTGGCATTCAGCTAGAACTCTATCTTGATGGGCAAAATAGGATGAGGATAGACCACTTGCTCAAAGCCTCAGTTTTTTTAGACACTAAATGGACCATTGGTGTGGCCAGATTCCAACAGGAGCTTAGAGTACCCACACGCCCATTTCTGAGCCCCAGACCCCTCCATTACACACACACACACACACACACACACACACACACACACACAGGACCACCACCACCACTAATTCTAATCTACCCCGTGGTCTAGCTTGCAGGAGGCCATGTGCGACTTCTCATCCCTGGAATTTAGCTTCAGAAACCACTGTCAACTCTAGTTTCTAAGACAGGGGGAAAGACCTACTCAGGCCACCAAGAGTCAGATGCAAGGACTTACCCTAGGCTTCTAAGCTGGCACCTGATTAACAGCTTAGGTCACTTAATCAGATGGCCGTTGGGTCAGATTCCAAAATGTCAGGTTCTCTGTGGTTGGCTAAAGATTCATCCTTGTTTCTCCCATGAGGAATGATCAAGGACTCCTTGGGGCTCACCCACTGCTGGGAGGCCGTCCACAGACAGCCCTCTCTACTCCCCCAAAGGCTTCCAGAGAACACCCCACTGCCTTTTGAGGTTCTTGCTTCTCCAGAGAAGGCTCTAGCAGCCCTAGGCGTCCAGAGAAGGGGTCAGAACAGGTCCC